GTTCACATAACAGCTTGTTGATCTGTAGATCTTTCCACTGAAATGTTGAATCTGGAAATTTTCAGCTGCAGTAAGTGGCTGATTGATATTATATTTATGCATCTAGTTTGATTGTAATATTGGAAGACATTAACATTTTACACTCAAAGCTAAACTAAAATTTAAGACTGAAACAAATGGAATTTAAATAATCTAGTTCTTATTAGGTCTGTGTAACAGAAATTGTAGTTCAGGTGCTGCGGTCCTTCATAAGCCAGGCTCTCACTGTCCCCCAAGGTGTATCACAAGCTCTTTTGCTGAGGTGTCCCCTTTGCTGAGGTGCTCTAATGCATCACAGGAGCTATAGTCTAGCTCAGAAATCCTGGAGAAGAATAAGCAGTGAAGCACCGTGGCTGTGGTTCCCATTCTATCCTTGAAGTCTAGTCAGAAGAAAAAGCTTTAAATTCAGAATAACCATAAAGTGCATCCCATAAAGCATGTTTTTCCCCAGTTCACTACCACCAGACGGCCACTGTCATGGGATACTAGCTGGGTTTTTTTTTTTTTTTTCCATTGGTTACATCATTTATTTTAGTATTAGTGGAATTGCCTCTCTGAATCAGTATTGAAAGTATCTTTGGGCATTCTTAATTGTTCTTTCGACCCGTGTCTATTTACTTTGAAAGTCTTCCAAGCTTTTCTTGATAAGGATGTTTTATATTGATTTATTCCTTATCTATGAGGATCTTTATCACACTGAAGTTTGAACTCCTTTTCATTAACTTTAAAAATTGCATTAAAATTAAATATAATTAAAATTATAATAAAATCTTATGAATAAGAGTTAACTTTATAACAGTATACATGCCTATTTCCAGCTACAGGGTTCAGCATATCTACTAGTTGCTCAGTGAACTAATAGCACTGCCACTACAAACAGACTTTGTTAGCTTTCATATAGTTATCGTACCAATCAATACCTGCATAATTACATTTCTCCATTATCAAACGCTAGTCTTCTTTATCAGCTTTTCTTCTACCAGTAATTTTGTTGTCTTAATCTGGTTTCTTCTCCAAGAGTCTGTAGCAACCTCTGAGTTTCACCAGATAATCTTTACTTTCCTCTCTGTTAAGTTCTCTAACCCAAATTATTTAATGTCAAGTTTTGAATCCCCTAATAAAACGCCACTGAATAGAACTGTGATCAAACTGTATTTTGTTTAGTTTTAATATGGACTACTAATTTTATCTTGTCTCACCCTTGAGTGAAATCCTATACATGCAAGTATTTGAAATTGCCATTAATTTTCTTGATTCATTCTCTTATTGATTTTCTTTCCAACTTTTTCCATCCAATATATCAAATAATTATTAGAGATGAGGCAAGAACCAAATGCCTGCATCCATACCCCCAGCGAGCTCTGTGGCTCCCTCCTGTCTTTAATGAACATAAATGCAAGCAACAGAATTTCCCAGGCAAGTATCTAATTCTTTGATGCTATATTCTTACCATCAACTTTTTGCACTGTATTTTGACAGTTTTTGGTCAGGTATGGCTTATTAGGGGAGGGAGTGTACATCAAGAAGCTTTATGTTTTACTTAGACACAATATCAAGCAGCTCAAGCAGAAATGAAGGAAGAGGGACTCTTGCTCTCTTTTATATCCCTGCAAAAAACAGATAGGGCAGATCACTCCAGCGGCTTTCATCTGTTCATTACTCAGTAAATGCAACACTTTCTAAAGGAAATTCACTGTTGAATTAAAAGAGAAAGTGGGATACAAAACAAATGTGGGTGATAATGAATTGAAGTGATGATCTGAGGAGCTCGCAGTGCTTCATAAGCATTAATTAATTAAACCTTACTCCATCCCAGTGAGGTAGGTATTATGGCCTGTACTTCAATCCTGGCTGCGGTGTGCTATTTCTGTGCCTCAGTATCATTTTGTTAATATGTGTTCTGATGAGCAGACCGAAACGGTGTCTGATGACTAGGGATGACTGTGCATATATTTAAGCTGTGAATTCTGCATGATGAGCCTTCATATGGAAAAAAAACTTTTTTTTTTTTGGTACAGTACAGTTTCTGAATAAAAAGTGTATGATAAATGAGTTATGCAGAAAGCACTGAAGGGCTGCTGAAGATGTATAGTTATGTACAATAAATAAGTCATTGCCTTACTGAATTTGAGCTAACAGATCTTTTCTTTATTGAAAAGCTGTATGTACTTCAATGGGTGTGAAATTTTCTTTCTTTTGTAATATAATTTGCCTGACTGCTATAAAAATTTAACCTACAATTTTAACCGTAATTATTAGGGGTGTGAGGAGCATGTGAGTTTATTATTAATAAATTATAAAAGTTAGTCTGAGGTTTCCCTGGAAGGAGCGTGTTTTGTTTTTTAGTACTGATGTAGAGCTTTGACTTCTAATGAGTGCTTTCCCTCTCTTCTTTTTTTTTCCATGCTGCTCTAAACAAGAAGTTGTTTATTACTTGAAACATTATATGTAAGCCCCAAGAATATGTTACATGTGACTGGAGTTTTGGCAGACTTCGAGAAATTGAAGTTTCCAGAAATTTTGCTACGTTTAAAAACCAGAGCCATGTTTTAAGGAAAGATTTCTACTTCCAAATGTGTGGTTGCCCAAACCTTTTACATTTTCAAGTCAGATTCCCATGCCAAATAACACACTGTACCTTAACTATAATAAAAAAGCAGAGACTCTATGTTTATAAAAACATTGCAGGAGCAATTGTGATCATATTTCTTGATCTTTTTTTTCTATTCGTGTGCTCAAATATGCATTTTATAGTAAGTTCTCTGTTGCACCGGCCACTTACAGGAGTAGAAAATGACATGTACAGACAGAAGGTTGGCATAACGTAACAAACCAAACTGGTAAAGTACAGGAATTCAGAGCCAGACCAAAATATGAGGTCAAGGAAGTTTCTCTTATAATAATAGTGGTTATCTGTTTAATGTGTGATCTGGCAGTGATACGATGTTGACCACAGGCAATTATGCATGTTTCTAAAATGGTGGTGTATATAAGCCCTAAGTAACTATATGCAAGACAGGCTGTGAGAAATAGGCACTCATTGTGTTCTTATGGTTGTTCCTACTTAATGTCCATTAAAAACACAGTTTAATAAGAGATACAAATTCTTCTCTTGTAAAATAATATCTATATTTACTATACCAGTTGCCATATGCCTAAAATCTTATAATGAAAACAGTTGTATGAAGCAAGCCCCTGTCTGACCTGATAAGTACTGAATGCTGTTCTTCTTAACAGACATATGCTTAGATATACTTTTTCTAACTCTCTGGATTATTGTTTAAAATAGCTTTCTTTATAATCAAGTTCTAAAGTCAATGTGCCTGAACGATGCCCTTGTTCTGCATTTTGTTGTGCATCAGTCTGGAAGTGAGTGACGTCCCCAGCGTATGCTTAGTTGCCTGGCATGGACCTGGCAAGAGTCAAGAGGAGGAAGGTCTTCACAATGCCAAAGAGCCTGAGCACAGATTATGATCTGGGACCTTCTCCTCCGTAACCCTAGCTCTGAGAACAATTTTTTATAACTGCTGAATTCTCTGGATAGCATATCTCTTCATTAGCTTTTAACAGACTTAGATCCCACTGTTAAAACTGCCTCTATGTCCCCCTTTTAAAAATGAGATCCCAGGCTTAGAAGGATATGACTACAGTGGAAGTGGTGAAGTTGAGCTACCTGTAGCAGAAAGTCTGCTAATGAGCTATGAAGACACCCAAGAAGGCCCCATTCTCCCAGAGCATGCAGCTGCATAAAACTTTGCTCTTGTAGTAGAGGTCCTGTGATCGCTGCTGTCAGTATTCAATGGCATGAGCCTTGCAGAAGGAGTGGTGGCCGCTGGCTCTCCCTCCCTGCCCCTGAGCAGCATCTAGAAATAATCGCTGAAAAAACGACAAGTGACATTCTCAAAACAAGTACCAGCAAAGGCTTTAGCAGAGGACTTCCCAAGCACTTCTCAAGGCTCCTGGCATGTTTTTGGCCTTTGCAGACATAATGTCTTGCATGATGCATGATTCTTCGTGAGCTCAGCCCGCTCTTGGCTCTAGAAACGCTAATATCTGTAAAGCATCTGCGAGATAAAAAGTTTAAACTTTGGTGCCTGGAAGACCAAACTGAAGAAGGATTTAATGAGCAGAACACATTGGTTAATGGTCAGTAATTTAGGAGCCGTATCAATAATCTTGCAGTAGTCCTGAAGCGGTTGTGTAGCCAAAGACTTTCACATTACATCAATGTGTGCACTTTGGCTGTCACTTTTGTGCTCCCCAAATGTAACCTTTCATCCTTTCACTTTTCAGAAGCAGAAAAATAAGGGCTGTAAAAATCTGTGATTGTGGTTTAGACCTAAATAAGGAAACATAACTGCTTACTGAAAAGCCACCCCCTCCGAGAGAAATGTCAGCGACACAATGAACACTATTATTCTACTCCTTTACGACTAGATTGGGGGTTTATGTTAAAGTCCATAGTAAAGGGCAGCAGCATCCTATCAGTAAACTACACTTCTGAGCAGCACTCAGCGCTCCCTTTTTGGCTTAACACTTCCAGAGGAACCAGTGCATCCCGGGCGGGTGCCACGATGTGCCTCCGGCGCGCAGCTGTGGGTACCGCGCAGGAGGGCGGCACAGCCGGGGCTCCCTCCACCCAACTTCACAGGTAGGGCAGCTCCAAGAGCTATTTTCTCTCCAGCGCTATTCCCCTGGATAAGCAATATTGCGCTCGCTGCAGTTGTGCAAGGTAATCAGTTAATCACTTGTAATAAACTGTAATTCTGAGATGTCATGAAATGGTCACATGCAACAATTGTCTTAGTCTATATCTGTCTAACAGTCTCTAGTTCTGTGCAATCATTATGTTGAGAGAAAAAAAAAGAATATATTGTCTGATACAGCATGTTTTTTCAACTTTTTCATAATGTGTCTCATATTTTAAGGGAAAATTATCTCATTGACCTCATCTCCTCCCATTCGTTGTCATGTGGACCATCTACTACTTTCTGGTAGTGAAATCTATAGTTTGCAATGACTGCAGCAATTATCTACATGGAAAAGTTCTGATAGGAAAAGAATGTTATTTTAAACTTCTTTATTATGATTTAGCAGCTGGAAACAAGGAAAATATCCAAGGCGGCTGTGCTACTCATCTCTCTGCAGCCTATCAGCAACAACTCCGTGGACAAAGCTGGGAACCAACAGTGATATGTAATAAGTAATTGGATGCATTTGCAAGTAAGGTGAGAAAATAGTGCAGGCTGTGTTAGTTGATGTCCTGCCACTTGGAAATGCTTCTGCTGTGTAACTAAGTACTTTTTTTTTTTTTAAACGGTTAATCACATTCCAGGTGACCTTGCATTTTTTTTTCTTGGCATGTGGCACTCTTGCGGGTGACTGGGGAGGTGAAAATGTCTTTATATACCAAATGAATTCCAGAGAACAAAATAGCCACATACGATTTGCTAATTAGAGGAAGAGTTCAACTGGAAGGTGTCCTAGTGTCTTGGAATAATTTTCCTAGAAAATAATGGGATTTGCCTTATATGGCTGAATATCAGTGAAACTTTACTATAGATTTAAACTGAAGCCTTCTCAGAATTTAGCTGTCTTGGGAAGCTATTGATCTCTACATAGAGCTATCAAATCTAATTGTGAAATGGTTGTGAAAAGAATTAGTGGGAAAAATAAGTTTCATCAAAATGAAAATTTTTCAAAAGAGTTAAAATATTTCCTTTTGATAATATGAAAATAAAACAGCTTGACAAGATAGACATTTCATTTCAATTTTATTATTTTGGTTTTGTATTTATTTTAACTTGATATATTAGATTAACCTTCTACATTGTTTCAACATGATTGAGATGAGCACTTTTGATGTTTCCTAATCAACATTTTTTTGGAACATCTTTCCAGTGAGAAATTTTGAGTTTTTGCTGCTATTCATTATTGAAAATACCCTCTTCTGACCAGTTTCCATATCTAACATATTATCTGTATTGAGAGTCTCTAATTCAGATGAGGGTAATGCTACAGCTCATTACTGTGGGCCCATATAGCACATGATGGCTACATCATTCCAGAGCTGCTATATCAGGTCTCTTATGGGAACAGAAAAACGTTTTCTCTGCCTATGTTGAAGCAAATTAACACATTATAACTACTGTGGTAGTTGGGACAGTGGTGATCCATCTGATTTGGTCAGATCCAAGGTTTTGTGCAGTGCAGGAAAGCTTGCCTACCTATGGCATCTTCCTGTGGAGCTTTGACTCTTCTCTATTTAGAAAGCAAATTATTGTTTGTATCCTTAAAGTCTTTTGGTCTTCTTTGGGGAGCTTGGTAGAGATGATGGGTCAGGTGTATCTGCCTCCAAGCTCTAACAACCTGGGTGTCCCTTTATATAAACGGAGAGTTTTCTGCTGGCCTATGCATCTGATGTGGCTCATCTTGTACACAGAGCCCCAGAACCGGTGCAAGGGAAGTGGAATTGCATGGCCAGGAGAAGAAGGGGGCAGCAGGTGATCAAACACACCCAGCTGCCCTGTTTACCTGTTCCTCCAGCATCACATGAGCCCACAGATAAGGTGCATTGTCTTTGAGAAATGCCACATGGAGGGCTCTTAAAAACAGTGGAAGGAATTATATTATTTTCTTGAGATGCAGCAAATTGGTTTTCACCTCCAAATTCCCATTATTTTTGGACTTCATGTGTCCAGGCTATCTCCTGTGGAAAATTTCCCTTGCAGGAAAGAGGGAGATAGACAGAAGCTCCAGGAGAAGGGACAAAGTTTATCGCAAGGAGGTGCTTCCTAATCCTTCCCCTGGGCAAGCTGGAGCAGCAGACAGCCTGGAAGGACATGGCTGCCTGAACCTGGTTATCCATATGGAGATGCTTTCATGCTCCTTGAAGGTTTGGCACATCCATAGCTGGGCAATCCGCTGATCTGTAGGCTTTCTCCCACTCTGGAGAGCATCTTGGGCAGCAGCTATGCTCTCCTTCCCTGCAGTCCGTGTAGTCGAAGCTCTTTGGGAGCCTCTGTGGGAGTTACTAGTCTGTTAGTGAATACGTACAAGTTTTGAAGAAAAAATATCACTTGGAATAGCTCCGCCTTGCTCCTATTCCCTAGAAATGTGGCTTCAACAAGGCTTGCTTTGAGGCTGCTGCGAGGTGCAGAGGCTGTGAAAGCGTATTGCAGAGCTAGCAAGCTCATCTCACCAAATGCTGCAAGGGAGGACAAAAATTCGCTTACACAGTGCAGCATTGTGCTGATATACAACAAAGGGTGAATCTTCTTTCAGAATGACGGTGAGCCATTTTTCCTGGGCAGATTTTGAGGGCTGTTGCATTCATTCTTGTATTTCTTCCCAGTCGTTTCGGGTTTGACTGAAACTGGCCGCTCTTAGCGTTGGATTCCAACAGAAGGAGCGGGTTTTGCTGTAGCCTCTGTCTGACCTTGGGCTACAGTCACTTCAGGAAGTTCCTTGCAAAACCAGAGCTGCACAAACCACCTCCTTCCTTTCTAATTTGTGCAAGCCCCTAGAATATAACTCGGTGACAGGTTTACATTGGGGTAACCCCAGCTCGTCCTGAAGGAAAGTGTGCAACTGCTTTGGGGAAAAACAAAGTTGCTTAAAAAATGGTTGCTTTTATACTCCAAAGCGGAAGGGAAAGTTATGTGTGTGTTGGATGGGGGTCGGGGAGGGGGCATGGAGGAGGCAGTAGAAATGCATCATGTATTATTTTGAAGTTGTAACATACCTCAG